TTTTAAATTAAATTAAATTTTATTTATTATTTTGGGGGCTAGTTTTTTCTTTTTGCCTTGAGCCCACTATACATTTGGACCGGCCGTGACACCCATACACTCAAGCCAACACATGCTCACGACCATATGCACACTTTATATTTCTCCTTTTGTAATACAATCTTTTTGTTTTATAAATTATGTGCACAATGAAAAAAAAAACATAGTATGTTTGAACGGATAAGAGTCTAATTGAAAATTTTTAATTAAATTAGGATTTTATCATTTTTATTAAGTTAAAAAAAAGTAAACAAAAAGGTATGTTAGTCTTATTATATAATTTAATTTTCAATTTATTTGACAAATCTTCAAACCCATAAAAAAACAGATTTCTTTTTATTTCAACCAAAAAAATTTCATGTCAACTAAAGACATAACATATTAAAAGCATTCTTTCATATTAAAATTCTTTTAATAAAGTTCATTTATTTCAAATACATTCTGTCAACCAAAAATACATCATTAGATCCCTCAAACTTATATTATAGAGATTCCACCCACATATATTTTTTGTAATTTTTACAAATAAATAATTTTATTGACACAACCAGTTGTCGTTTATATACTTTCAACATTATTATTATTATTATTATTATTATTATATTAAAGTTGTGGACAAAAAAAATAGTAAAGCTGAGATATTTTTGCCACTTTTGGTTCCTTAAATTACATTTTCGGTCCCTCTATTTTTTTTGTGTGTCATTTTGTTTAAATGATAACACTTTTATGAAACGGTAATTCTACAACTTTTTTTTTACTCTTTTGCCTCAATTGTTTTACCTGTTGCCACTTTTCCCCTAAGTTATTGTTTTTTACTTCTTCCGCTCAATTCTCTTGCTCCGCTTTTGCTTAAAACGATTCCCATTTTTTTTATCGTACAGTAAAGCTGAGATATTTTTGCCACTTTTGGTCCCTTAAATTACATTTTCGGTCCCTCCATTTTTGTTTGTGTGTCACTTTGTTTAAAAGATAACACTTTTATGAAACGGTAATTCTACAACTTTTTTTTTACTCTTTTGCCTCAATTGTTTTACATGTTGCCACTTTTCCCCTAAGTTATTGTTTTTCTTCCGCTCAATTCTCTCGTTCCGCTTTTGCTTAAAACGATTCCCATTTTTTTTTATCGTCACTTCTTTAATTAATGGGGTTTTTTTAAAGTGTAAAAGCATTTATGAACAGTAAGGAATTGGTTTATTTTACATAAATGGTCCTTAGGTTTTGTTGAATTTGACGACAAAATTATATAAATGGTCCATATGGTTTACCCATGATGACAAATTCAGTCTCTACTACTTGAAAAGACCAAATTACCCTCATATTAACGGACAAAAAGCAACCAACATGCTACTTTACTTTACAAAACAATACCTTCCGACCCCGGCAACGCCGGGGAATCTTTTCTAGTTATGATTATTATTTTTGTAGATTTTAATCCTTAAAAACAAATAGTTTAATATAACTACCGGTAAAATAATAAAGATTGTATGATCTAAATGTTACTTGATGGGCAAAACGACCAAACATGAAAACCGAAGCATAGGACGAGGACCAATTTTGTTGTTCGCTCTTTGAAGTGCGAAATTTTTGGACAGAAATGGGATTGAATGTTCGCCATAACTGGATTTGGGGGAAATCACACACCAAAAGGATAAACAAAATCCATTCAGGGGATTCAGCACTTGCTTAAAATCCGATCATAACGATCGACTTCTTTAATTTTCCCTTCCATATTCCCAAGATTTCGTAAAATTTCATGTGAACACCTTTCATCCAATTGAATAATGCTCAGAAGCATACAATTTCTTGGTTCCTCTTCAGGGTTCCTTTTTCATAGATTAAAACTTCATGGAAATCATTCTGGGCTCTCTTTCATTTCCATTTCTGCGAAACCATGTTCGAGAAGACCTTTATTAACAACTTCAAGAACGCCTCGTTGTTTTCGACAATTTCGGGGATCTCCAATTCGTTCCAAGTCAAACCCAGATGTAACCTCACCTTCTTCTTCATCGTCTTCATCCCCCATTTTTCGATCAACTGTAAGTTTTCTGTTCGTAGAATTTGCATTGTTGGGTCGAAATTCGAAAATACAGTTTTGGGGGTAATCATCTCTTGAATATTGCAACAATTTCCTGTTGCATATATAACTTGTGTGATGATTTGGGTTGGCATATTGTAAGGTGCATTGTTGTCTTAATCATCTTCCCAACAGTTTTTGATTGTTTATTGTTTCTATCCATAAATTTGGGTATCAAACCATATTAACCACTACCTTCTTTAAATAGCAAACAATTCAATCATTCAAGAATCTTGATTTATTGCTCAATGATCATATTTGAATTCATTAGCTTTCCATGGTTGTTTTGCAGGGCAGTACCCGTAAGATAAATTTCTGTCAATCGTGTGGAGGATCAACAAAATATGATATACCAGATGGGGAGGAGAAAGAGAGAGCTATTTGCACCCTTTGTGGAAGAATTTCATATGAGAATCCAAAAATGGCATGCTTCTTATATTAATTACCCACAAAACTACCTTCTATATTCCGTTATTCACCTTAACACTTTGTCTAAAATCCAAAAAATGATACTTTTTTTTTTCAGGTGGTAGGTTGTTTGATTGAGCATGATAACAAAATCTTGCTATGTAAGAGGAACATCCAACCATCTTATGGTCTTTGGTACGTATTTCTTCTTATGATATAAAAGGTTAGGGCTTAATGGGGAAAGTCTCATTTCCTTGACTTTCTGTATTAAGTCAAAATAGCTTACGAGATTAAGCCATGTGGCGCCACAGGACACTTCCAGCTGGATACATGGAGAATGGTGAGTCAGCATCTGAGGGTGCAGTGAGGGAGACATGGGAAGAAGCCAGAGCTAAAGTTGAAGTTCTTTCACCTTTTGCTCAATTAGACATCCCTCTCATAGGCCAAGTGAGTCATCAATTTTTATGACCTTTTTTTTTTTTACTTTCAAAAATACCAAAAAAACACATTATTGATTATTGCAAAGTACAATGCTATGATTTTTTTTTTTTTTTTTTTTGGTACAGACTTATATAATATTCTTGGCGAAGTTGTTGACCCCACATTTTTCACCGGGTCCCGAATCATCGGAATGCCGGCTTTTCGCACTGGATGACATCCCTTATGAATCTCTTTCCTTTTCCTCAATGCTCGTTACCTTAAATTTGGTATGTTTTCTTCTTCTTGTTGTTTGTGTTTTTTGTTTTCATTTAAGGTAACTTCAATGCTTTCTTTCTTTCATTTTTACTGTTTATGTAGTACATTGAAGATATTAAGGTTGGAAAACCAAAGTTTCACTACGGGATCATCAACAAGAGGTACTTTTTTATTTTTGCCACTCTGTTATTGAAATTGTATATATGGAAGATATTAAATTTTAAAATCCTTTGGTATGTTATGTTCGTGTGTGTGTATGATATATAATTATATATCATCATTAAGGTATACAAATACTTTTCATATTATTTTAAGATTTTGGTTATTTCATAGGCCTGGCACGAGTCCTTCGGAAATTCATGCGTATACTATCGATTATCATCTACGAACTTGATGAAAGGCACAGGGCAATTGAGATGATCAATATTTTCATTTTTTTTTTTTTTTGCTAATTGTGACTTGGGTCTTCTGTTTATGATGATGCCCTTGATGTAAAGTTGTATTTTATGAGTTTGAAAGTTCTTTCAAGCTTGTGTTGTTCATTGTAAAAAGTTAAAAACTTTTTATTGGTAAAGCTCCATTTCTTAAATTTCTTGATAAAGTTATTTTTTGAACGTGAAGGTTATGTTTGGGGGACTAGCTGATAAAAGATAACATTATGTTATGTTTGGCGTATTAACTAAAAAGCAAACTGATAAAAAAATGATGTTTGGTAAAACTAACTGAAAGATATAAAATGCGTAAAAGTACATTCAAAATGAATGTGTTTCTATAATTAATTAAGATGTATATTTGGAAAATTTTAAAAAAGTTCCTAAAAAGTTAGCTTATAAGCTACTATTTGTTTCGCCAAACATCACAACTTAAAACTAGTTGATAAGTTAAAAGAATTCGAAAAATAAGGTAGCTTGTCAGATAGTTGTGACGCGTCAAACACAACTTTAGTAAAACTAGTTGATAAGTTAGCTGAAATATAGAAAATTGGTTACTATAAAAGATATGGATTGACGTGTTGAACTCATTTAGTTAAATGAGAACTAAATGAGTTGAGTTAGGTTCAATTATTAACCTTTTATTAACTCCCGTTGTATATAATATTTTTATCTATGATATTATTATATTCATTATATTAGAAAAACATAATCATAATTCTAATTTCTAAAAAACTACGACCATGGAACATTGTAGTGGTTTTTTCATAAAGGTTGTCTTAACTAGAAGTAGAACGCTTTTATAATATTCTCTTTTATTTACATAGGTCAATACATGCAAACTTATTTATTAGATTGGGTTGGAAAAAAAATAGGTGAACCCAAGAGTAATTTAAACATTATTACAATGGTAAAAAAAACTTCTAAAAATCTTTTACAAATAATTAAAAAAACTTAAAAAAAAAAAATACTACCATCGGAAATGCTGTAAAAGGAAAGCCTTTGTTTATATCATTTATTTACTCCAAACATACATCATTTATCCATCCAACATTTTATTTTATTTTACCCACAGAGCATTTCACGAGGATTAAAAAAAACCCTAAATCTTTACCCAATTAAATTAGATCGCACATAAGCACACATAAATACGACATATTGTGACGAGTATTATACCTAATACATTACATATGTTTATATATATCCATATGGTTGGAAACCTTACAATTATACAGGCTTATTTACATGAGCAATCACAGTAAAACATATTAGGGACTAAAAGAACAAACATCACGCATCTTAAGTGCATTTTTATAAATATAAAAAAAAAAAAAAAAAAAAAAAAAAAAAAGAGCATAGCAACGAGGAGCTAGATATTATTCTTGAGCAATGTCCGACTTAGCTCCATATATATTACTATTAGTATTAGGGTCCAAAAGAACCCATATCATATCATCATTCATGAACTCAATTAAAAGCTTCTTGAGATGTGCAAAATAGAGCATCATTCTGATTTGAATCTCAGTTGGATTGCTTTTTGGAGAGTTGACCATTTAGGAATTCCAATACAGAAACACGCTGCAATAATTAAAACAAGAATCAGATCAAAATCAAAATCATGTTTCATGATATATATATATATATATATATATATATATATATATATATATAAAGACTTTCCATTAAATTAAAAAGAAACAACTTACCCGTTGTTCCAGTGCAGTTTCTTCAGACTTTATATTCAAAGATTCCAGCAAATTTATGGCTTCTTGAAACCCTTCAATTGCTGTATCCTCGGCATCAAGATTTCTATCCACATCAGCGACTTTTGCAAGGGATACAGCCACATCTAGAACCTGGAATCGGAATTAGAATCAACGAGTGGAATGGAATCATGGAAATATCAAATATAATTATATAATTAATGGATAAAAAATCTTGGTGACTCACCTGTGATGGAGCTTTTGAAGAATCTTTTATAGCATTTCGACGAACATCAAGAGCCCGAAAGTAATGATCCCTTGCAGCTTTCAAATCACCTTCATAATATTTCAGATCCCCAATTTTATTCAAAGAAACCGAAAGTGTATGTGTAACCTGCATATGGTTAAAAACGTAATTTTTACCTTCATAATAACTAAATCATTAAAAAAAAAGATTCAAGAAATTGTTTATACCTCTAGATCATCTGTTCCCACTTTCGAAAGGAAATTGACACTCTCATCAAAATATCCAACTGCAGAATTGCCATCTCCCATTGCACGACTACAGTTTTCAATATAACCATCATTATGACTTTGACTTTGACTTTGACTGGTATCAACAGAGACAAAAATCAACAGATAGGAGATATATAACACATACCAACAGTCACCAAGCATACCAAGAACAGCTCCTAACTGTGAGCATAACTCAGATGTATTCCCTGCTACTTCCAGCTGTTCTCTTATATCTTGTGCACATAAACTAAGTCTTGATTTTGCACTTTCTACATTATTAGCACGAAATGCCTGTAAGGAGAAAAATGTAAATTTTAACAGAAACTAGTAACAAGATGCTGATAGAAGGTAAACTGTAATAAGTTAATAACTTACTCTCATTGCATGTTGTACAAGGAAAGCACCTCTTTCCAATGAGACATCTTCATATATCACTGTTTTCTTCTCACCAATTATTTCTTTTTCCTTTTCATCTGTATCCACAGGAGACCTTTTAATTCTAGCATGACCTTCGATAAACCGGTCAACTACACTTTGAAGATTTGCATCAGCTTCTATCTTCTCAATGTCAGCTCCACATAGAGGACAATCATTGAACTTTGATATGCATGCTCTGTTTTTACACAAAACAAGAATGTAATTATAAGTATTTAACCATATATATGTGCATGAAATTAGAGAAAAAGTATATGGTGTATGTTTACTTGCAAAACACGTGAGTACAAGGAACACATCTGCTACATTCAAAGAGTAGGGCTTGGCATATCAGGCAACTGAAGGGGCCGATTTTGAATGTTTGAGAATCATATCCAAAGGGGCATTTTGGGGAAATGACATTAGATTTGGATTCTTCGGAATCTTGCTTGACTTTACTCATTGGACATCCTTGTCCCTGCTGTTTGTTTTGGTTTTCCTTGCTCATTGGGCATCCCTGCTGCTTATTTTGGGCTTCTTTACTCATTGGGCATCCCTGATGCTTATTTTGGACTTCTTTACTCATTGGACATCCTCCCTGATGTTTGCTTTGGATTTCACTGGATTTTTTTGAAGATGCATCATCAGGTCGAGCAGCTTTCACAAAAGGGCCAACAGGTGTCATCTTGGTCGAATCAAAACTCTGTAAACATAGAAAATTACAAATTGCTGAAGATTCAAGAATATAAACACATTCGATTAATGGTATATTGTGGATTTGTTTCTGGTGGTGAATTAGTGACACAATTTAATTCTATTCTTAAGCTCAAAGTACTAGCTTGACATAAGAAAACCAGCTCCTTTTTTGGTATCCTGAAAGATAGTATTGGTTGATAAAAGCTAGGCATATAATTTTACATTTTTTTTCTTGAGGTATCATCTCTATATAATCAAAGATCATAATCATAATCTATTTTATCCAAACTCTCAAAACTGAGTGTTGTGATCATTTGATCGCACATCCTAGTGTCCTACCCCCTTCTCCCTACAACATGGTAAGCTGCAAATGTCTTAAGAGGCTTAACAACTAAATACAAGTACAATTACATGAACTTTCGCCACTCACAAAACTGTCATAAACCCCTAATTTTCAGCACCTAAATTGGCCTTACCGAAGACAAGACGAAAAAGGTAAAACCCAAAAACCTCCTAGTTTATTACGAATGTGATCTCTGTAAAACGAATTCTTTAACCAAAAAGGTTTGGTATGGTGAATTGAATCCGAGTTAAAGTGCAGAAACTCTAAAAGATAAGGAGCAATCGTCATACTTGGCAAAGAAATTAGCGATTTTGAAGCTAAAACTGAAAACCCCAATTGCACAGATTTCTCATGAGATTGATTTCGATTCAATTAAATTAGATAAGAAAGAAGAAGTTATAAATCCAAAAGGGAGATGAGCGATTGCGATTAAACCTGCAAGCGTGAAGGGATTTCAACGTTTGATGATGTGATGAACAGGAAAATTGCCTTCTCGTCAAGCTATTGATGGAATCACGAGAGTGAAGCTTGTCGACGATTTCGGATTTGAAGATAGGAGAGAGGAAACACGTCGACGTCTCTATAATGGATGACCTTTGTTAAACAAAACTTCAAAAGTAGCCCATAAACTCCCAACTTTAACATTTAGGTCCTTCCCGTGTGTGGAGATGGCTTAAAAAAAAAAAAAAAAAAAAAGGTGCCTAACGGGAATCCAACAAAACCGAACACCCAAGTTGACTAATGATTGGGATAAGGATGTGGATGAAGAATCTCCAAACAGAAAACTAAAAATCGGGAATGGGGATACTCATCCGTCCGAGCTCAATACCAATAGTTCTATAATAGGGTTAGGGTTAGGGTTAGGGTTAATGTTATTATTATCATTTAATTTTTGGATCAATTAGTCGTTTGACTTATTTTAAGTTTTGAATTATTAACTTTTGCCAAAACTATAACTAACAACAATATATTTTTATATAATTTTTTATTATCTAAAGTCATTGAAAATTTTCTTAGTTATTTAAGGTCATTGAAAATTTTTGATCTATAATTAGTTACTAAACTGTTTCAGTTTTATATATTTTTTCAAAATTCCTTTTTACAATTTCATTCATTTTTTTTTCAAAATCCGTTTTTACAACTTCATTTTTTCTTCATTTTTATATGTTTTTTTATACAATTTGTTTTTATAAATCAATATTTTTACTTCGTTTGTACATATTAGAGCTATTTCCAATCCATGGTTTTTGATTTGATGATTGTAAAAGACTTTGTAGAAGACACGACTATCGTGAATCGAATTATTCATCGTAATTCACTTTTTAATATTGTTCATCATAGTTTTTGGTGCTTAATGAAATTTGAACTTCGTTTGAGGTTTTTTTTAATGCAAGGGAGTCTACACCTGCCTCCAACTCTTTATGAATTTTGATTTTATGAATACTTACTTATGTTTCTTGTTTGTATGGTGGTATGTAATATAAAGAAAGGTACAAACTCATCGGCTCTTAACAATTAAAAGCTACCTAGTTGTTTAAATTGAAATAAAAAATACTATCGTTGAACAGAAAGCATACAAAAGGGGAAAAACTAGTTTTGGTTTTAGCGGTTGTCGGAACATGTCCAGGAGATGGTTGGAGTGGGTTCTTTTTCCTTCCTTAAACTATACGAGGATATTTGGTACCATCTTAATGGTTCCTTTAAGAGGTAGGTTTTGAATCGATAAGATGACCGATTCACAGTGTTTGCTTTGACATTTTTCACGCATCTAAATGGATCAGCATCCTCTTATTCGGCAAGCTATGAAATGTTGTTGAATTTGTTGAAATGCTTATAATTTTGTTAAAATGTTGCTGAAATGCTTTTGAGTTTGCTAAAATGTTTATGAAATTCTTGGTATATAACTATATATTATTAAATTACACAAACGAGGCTTAGGATTAGTTGGAAGCTAGAAGATGTAGAAAAAACTTTTATTGAAGCATGTTTGTATGAAGTTATAGTTAATGGACAATAAGGCAATAATTTGAAATCAAATTCTTTGCGCAAAAGAGCTAATCGCCTCTAGAAACTAAATTCTGAAAAAAACTAATCACACCCGTCGTTTGGCGCGGGTAAACGACTAGTGTGTGTGTATATATATATATATATATATATATATATATATATATATATATATACACTTTATTTATTTTTATTTTTTTATTTACTCTAATATATTCATACATTTTACACTTTTAGTATTTTTTTTAGTTTTTTTCCATATTTGTTTTCGTATTATATTTTAATTTTTTCGTATATTTAATTTATTCATTTTTTTTCGTGTTTGTTTTCATATTTGCTTTTGTATTATTTGTTTTCATTTTTTCGTATTTTTAACTTTTTCTTGACATTTTTAAAATAATATAAAATGTATTAATATAGTAGAGTATATTACAAATTTGGTAATTTATAGTTTTTGTAATTTTTTTATTTTTATTCAAGTAAATAAAATGATTATATTTATATTTGTAATTTCAGTCCGGTTTATTTTCTTTTTATTTTTTGCTTTTTAGTGCTATTATATTTATGTTGTGAAAATATAAAAATTAAAAAAAAAACAAAAAACTTGTTTATTGAGAATTAATTTTTCAACGTGTGATAGAACTTTCAAAATAAATCATATTTCTATATGTGATATCAATAGTTTAAATTCAAGATAATATTTTTCAGTTTGATAATAGACTAAAAGAAAGAACAAATAGAAAACAAAAGGTAAAAAAGGTAAAAAAAAAAAAAAAAACAAATTCTTGAAAAATAAAGTTAAAATACGAAAATAAATAAAGTATATATAAAAATAACAAAAAAAAGTATATATATAAAAAAACGAAAATAAATAAAGTATATAAAAAACGAAAAATAAAGTTAAAAAAACATGTGGTGTAATTTGTTGCAAACTACATAGACCAAATTTGAATTTTAAAACCAATATTAGGTCTGATTTTGCAAAAAAGATAACAGAGTTAATCATTAAACACGTTAAGTGAGTTAGAGTGATAATTCTGCAAGAAAGTTGTAGCCATAGCAGTAATGAAATAAATGTTAGAGCTTTTTTCAATTACGCGTTAAAAACTTAGGACTTTTACAATATTAGTCATATCTTATATTGACAATCATACTTCAATATAGTTTAGTATTAAAACTTTTACAATTTTTTATTTCATCAATCTACTTTCATTATCTATCTTATAAACTCGTACTTTCCACGAGTCTCTAACCTAGTATTGAAAATAAAAATAATTTTATTACGGATAAAAAACAAATGAAGAACCGTTGTTGCTACTTAAAACCAAAGTTTGGATCTTGGGTGAAGTTAAAGAATAAAATTGAAATACAAGCACCTTTAATTTGGACGAAGAATAGAGGAAAGTAGAAATAAAGGTAGTTTTTTTAAAAACAAAAATTATTATTATGTTTTAATAAAATTTTTTAATTTTTCCAAGTAGTTGCATAAATACGTTGAAGCTTTGAGAAAATTTTCACTGCCATACCCTAATATTTGCAATTGATTATTCGATGAGGGGACTTCGACTAGCTTTGATGACTGGGTCCAACTTCTACACTTCCTCATCTTTATCAGGATTTACATCCCCATACTTGATATTGATGGCATTCAAAAGGAACCCCGAAATTCAAAAGCCCCGCAGGTGTAAGTGTAAAGTCATTCGCTCGTTTAAAAAAACAAGGAGCCAAATAAACGGTTAAATGCTTTCAAAAAAATATTTCCCAGAAAAATATGTGTATTAGATGGAATTCTTGTATATTTATTCATGTCCGTTGATCAACAGACTCGTTATAGAGGAATATGAGAAGATGAATTCTTTTAAAATGTATTAGAAATCTGTGATTTTGATATGATATTCACATTTAATATAGGTCGGTTAGAAGGGCATAACACATGATTTAAGAGCTTTGAAAGAAGTTGTATTTAACCTTGCATCTATCTATTTCCTTTATATAATAGTTATGGTACTCATGTTTAAATATAAATATCACCTTTATGAGTTGTGATGCTACATACACCAACACCTGTGGATTTATGACTCCTTACCGTAACACGAGGTATTAGTTATCAAATTTTCAACAACGTCGTATGTTAACTAAGGAAGGGAGATTCAATCATGCTCACACACAACTCAAAAATGCTACCGAGTATGTTTATGGTGTTTTGAGTGCAAGATTCTTGATCCTAGAGCAAATGACTCCTTATCTTATGCTATTGAGTATGTTTATGGTGTTTTGAAGGCGAGATTCTCGATCCTAAAGCAAACGACTCCTTATCTTTTTTTAGTCCAAAGATAGGCAGTCAATACTTGTTTCACAATCCAAAATTTCATAAGGATGTACAAAATTCACGATCAATTATTTATGGATTTCAAAGAGAACACTATGTTTACTGTTGAAGTTCAATGGGGAGAGAGTGATGGTCAAAACGTACATGATGTAGAATGGGTTCACAAGGCACTGCATATATGGCTAATTTGTGTGACCAAATTGCAAATCAATTTTTTTTCAAATGCTTCAAATCAAATTTGTATGCAAAAGTATTATGTTATATTGGATTTTAGTATGTTGTCATAGATTTGAAAAGATTTATGTTTAATTTTGATTTTGCAAAATTTACGTTTAATTTGGATTTGTATGATGTTTTATATATTTTTTTTAAATTATTCAGCAATTCAGTTATTTTATAAAACAAGAACATTTCAGAAAGGTAAAATGGTGATTTCTATTATAAGAAAAACAATAATAAAATGATCATTTTACAAACATTTAATGCAACTTTACTAACGTAGTTAATGATAAGGACCTTTGGTATAAGGTTTTAAAATCTCAAGGATCACCCATATTCAAAATTTTTAATAAAAACTTACAATCGGTGCTACTTTTTTTCCACAAGTATCGTATGTGTTCTGCAAATATCAATAAAAAAGAATTCAATCATCTCTATTTATATCTATTCTATACTATAAAAGAGACATTTTTTCTTTCATCACATTCATTTGAAATATGACTTTTTAATTTCTTTCGAATAATGATTATAAATTGGTTAATAATGTTAAACAAATTCAAAATCTATATTATAATCCTAAATTAACTAAACTTCAATATTAAAATAACATATTTTACTTATATTTATAAAAATATGTCTTTAACTTTAAACATATTATACTTAACTTATATATAAAATTATATATTTAACTTTAAACATATTATACTTAGCTTATTAGTTTGGATATGTTGTATCTGAGCCATTGTCATTTTAAAGTCATAACTTTTGAATAAGTTGTATAATACTTCAAATTGTTAATTTAAATATAATATTAAAAGGTCAACTTAGATTGACATTTGAATTAAACTTAAAAGAAAATTCAAAGATTATTTTGTAAATTGTTAAAAGTTATAAATTATTGTATTAAATGCAAAACCTAAATTTTAATCCCAAATAAACTAACTTTTTCCTAAAACTATTTTTATAATAATTATAAAGTTAAAATGTTAACTCAGATCGAAATTTCAACTAAACTTAAAAAGAAAATCCAAAGATTATTTTGGAAATGGTTAAAAGTTTTATATTGTACTGTTAAATGCATAACACCAATCCC